GTACACTGTAGGTGTTTAGGCTTTAGCATCTTTGCATGTGTACAAATGTTGCCATGTTAGCATGCTTGCCATGAGGCTATTTTCTTAGCTACTATAACTGCATGAATGCCTGTGGGTAAAGGTTGGATTGCCTGAATTGGAACAATTCATCAAACTGTTTTCTACGCCCACTTGAGGGTGGCAAAATCCGCGTCTTAGCCTACTTGCGAGTAACAACTTCAAACCATTTTCAAACAAACAAACATGAGATGTTTTGTTCCAACTCGAGTGATTTAGTCTATACTTGTATGTTGTGCACATCACATAGTAAGCTAGCTAATAAACCGGAAAAAGAACACATGTGTTTTCAAAAACAACATATAATGTTTGTAAAGGCCGATCTTTTGATCGGGCGAGCGGGGGTGCTCATTGCATGACCTTCCCCTCTCGTACCCAAGTTCCCGAGCCGAGGCAACTTTGGTGATGACGGACACGTGGCCTTAGGCACGAGTCAGGGTTTCCTAAATTTCCCCAAAATAAAATATTTAGGTGGCGACTCTGAAATCTGGCAAAGCTGTCCATGTTTGGCACTTCTTGATTAAAATCAGTTTTCCAAAACGATTTGCTGGATTTGGACTCTTTGGTGATTTATCTGTCTTACATTGCACTTTGTGAGATTAGATTCAGAACCGTGGCATGAGTCCAAACTGTAGTAGCTATGAACTACGATTCGCGCCCTCGCGTGCAAAGCGGAGTTCTGGGCTATCTATAGTAGGATGCACGGTTAGATATTTAGACCAAAAAATGTGATAAAAAAGGAAAAAATAAATGGATGAAGTAGTGACTTAATATTGTGCGTGTAACATTGGATTACGAGAACTAAATCTTTTTGCGAGAACTTTAGGTGTTTTGTCCAATCTGCTAGAGTCAGAGTAGCCTAAGAGAACCAAATCTTGTGATGAGTAGATATTTGTCAAAAAGATTCGACAAACTAAAGGAAAAAGTAACATTGTCACTTTTCTTATTTTTTTAATAAGTTAATAAACCTTTCTAGTAATATTATTTTTTACAAAATAAGTTCAATTACTTTTTGTCTGGAAAATTTTAAAGAAAATTTAAATATTGCGTATCATATCAATTGTAATTGACTGAATTATTTTTTACAGATATTGGAAGTTCATGGAGTGTTTAAATTCATACTGTCCGTGCAAACACTGAAAAATTGTAGGTAAGCATGGGCTCTTGTGCTAATTAATTGACTCTGGGGGCCCTTGAGTGAAAAAATTAGTGGCCCTTTCCTTGTAAGTGTTGCTGACTAGTTAATGCTAACATCCATGCTTTTGTCAAAAATAAAAAAAAGTCTAAGCTTATTTAAATAGTGGGTCAAACTACCACGTGTCTAGTTAATGTGATGCGAATGGTGTAACAGAAAGATTTATTGCCTTCGTATTGGTGGGTAGACTTCTCGAGAAGTTAGAGGTCTCATTCTAAGATGTTTATTTTCTTTATCACAAAATTAACTTGCATGAAATTGCAGGGGAATGCCTTTTTTGTATTCAATAACGATAGAATTTTTTTCTCACAAAAATAGTTGCATCTGATGTTTTTGAGATTCTTACACAATGTAAACATGATGGTTGGTTTGATGTCAAGTAATAGTGTGGTGTGGCAGGGAACATGTTTGCATGTTCTGAATAATCATATACAGTATTGGACAATCTACTAGAAGCACCCAAACAAAGATTTAGTTTTGTAGTGACTAATTCTCAAATCGCATCTATGTGGTCTTTTGGGGAGGAGCTCTATCCCTCCAGTTTGAAAGTAAAATTTTAAGTGTTTTACCATATTTTAGACAAACAGGGTTTAATGATTGCTCAATTCTTGACATTCTTTTTCTTTTTCTTTGGTACAGATGGATGAACTCATGCACGAAGCTAAATTGTACAGGACTAATTGGCACTATAAGCATTTTTGGAAGTATTATATATTTTTTGATAGATATGTATGGAAAATATTTTGATAGACTAGTAGTTATATTTTGGATAAACTAGTAGTTATATTTTTGGATGGGTGTATATAGGAAATATTTGAGTAGACTATTAGTTATATTTTTTGATAGATGCGCATGGATAAAAATTTAAATTAGAGGAATATGTATTTTGGAATTACTTGTGAATGGAAACTTAAAATAGTTGCTGACTTTTGTTAAACAGGTTCAGGATTTGATGATTTATGTATTTTGTTGAATGTTCATGATTCAGATACTTTGTTAGTATGAATGATTCTTTTTAATTTACAGATTATATTGAATGGATTTAATGGAATATTTGTCTTCAATTACAGGTTTATTTTGTTAGATGTTGACCAAATTGTGGTTTTGCTGACCAAAATGTTGGCAGACAAAAGGGTACATTTGGCGACTAAATAATTAGTCGGTAAAATTGTTAATTTTGGCAACCAAAGAGTTTGGTCGTGAATAGGTCTATTGCCGACTAAATGTTTAGTCGCGCAAACATTGCTTTTGGCGACTAACATGTTTGGTCGTGCAATGTGACTTTTGGCGACTAATCTATTGGTCGTGGATTGTGACTTTTGGGGACTAACATGTTTGGTCGTAGAATGCGACAATTGGCGACTAACATGTTTGGCCGAGAATATGTCACTTTTTCGCGACTAAAGTGTTTTAGCGACTAAATGGATTAGTCGCAGTAATGATATATTTAGCAACAAAAAATTTAGTCAACAAATCTAACTTTTTCCCGACTAATAAAAGTTTTGGTCGCTAATTACTTTTGCCGACCCTTAATTGGTGACCAAAGTGGCAACCAAAAAAATTAGTCATGGATAACTTTTGCCGACTAAAAATGAACTTTTGCCGACCAAATTTTTAATCAACAAAAATACAATTTCTTGTAATGAATTCAGTTTCATGACTCCCTTTTTGCTACAAAAACAAGAGTAGTGTTTCTCGAGTGGAAATTCTAGTTTAATGAAACTCGTAAATTTGTAAAAGGATAATTTTTTAACAATTTTTTTTTTTCTTACAAATTCCTTCACAAATTTAAAATATAAAAATATCTTATAGATAGGATATGGTTCATGATACATAAAGGATTAATTGTTCAGTAGATGTGTATTTAAAAGTTTTAGAGGTTATTTGAGATTGACTTTTTTTAGTAATTTTTTTAAAAAAATATTTTTGTACAATCTAAAAAAAACAATTCAACTGTGAAGTTAAGTGACTTTTTGACTTCTTTTCATGAGAAATTGACTTATTTAACTAAAAGTTTTTTAGAATATACCAAATAACTCCTTAATCTATATCATTCATGAGACATGCAAACAGTATTTCCGGCTAATTGATGTGTATACATACCTAAACTGTTATTTGTGTGTGTGTGTGTGTGTCTCGTATTCAATCAGGGTGGACATTGGCGCAATAAGATGCTGAATTTGATTTTTTTTTATAGATTTAAATTTTTAGGGGTGGTTTAGGATGATCTAGATAAGTGCACTTTTTGATTTTTTATGAAATATGGATTATGTATAGATTGGGTTTGAAGTAATGTGATAAAGAGATGATGTAACTTAAATAAAATAATATAACTTAAATAAGATAATGACTTTTGACTTTTTAATTTTTTTAAGTTATGACAAATAAGACCTTAACCAATAAGACTAAGCTAAGTTGAGATTTTCAATATTTTTAAAAGCGTTTTATTAATAACAACCCCAAACATTATCGATAAAAAACATAAAATATCAAAAAAATTATAATATTTTCGTGTATATTTAAAATACTTTCACACATTTTTAACACTTACAATAATTTTAAGAGAAATGTTAGGGACCATGAAAATGATTTCATGAAAATGATCATGAAAGATTTGTGACCCTTAGGCAGTGTTTGGTTGGAGGATTTGAAAAGAGATTTGGAAAGGGAAATAGAAAATGTGGGTGAAATGTGAATAAAACATACCTATATTTCACATAATTTCACACACCTTTTCATTTTCCCTTCCCAAATCCCTACTCAAATTCCTCAACCAAACACAACATTAGATTACCTTGATTAGTGTGTGGTGCTTTATTCTATGTGTAATCCAAAGATCACAAATCTTTCATGATCATTGTCATGAAAGACTTTTCATAATATCTAGTATTGCTGTAATTTTAAGGACTGTTTTTAACATTTTCCTTCTTAAATTGATTTAAAAGAGCTTTCAAATTGAGAAATTTTAGCATGATCCGAAACAGTGGTTCTAGGAACCACCGACGGGAGCGACGGAAACACGGCGACGTGAAAAGCTATTTATTGCTTGTAACAGAGATGACTTTGAGAGTGACCCAGCTGGCTACTTCCGCAACAATCGTTATTTAGAATGAAAAATCAACAACTGGGGGTTATGGGTTTGACAGGGATTAGGATTCACTTTTGATGTTCTCTTCGTTTTGAATCTACTTATGTTTCTTGTTGGTCTTAATCAGAACAATATATGTGGTTTTGCAGTATGAATTAAAAATTACAGTTGACTATATATATATATATATATATGTGGTGTATATAACCCAAATACAGTATGAACAATATATGTAGTTTTGTGATCTTAAACCCAAATACAGCATTGACGCAGCTTTTCATTTTCAGTCACAAATCTAATATTTTTAGGGGATGTAATTTGAACTTGTCCTTCAAGTTATGTGTCACTGTGAGTAAGGCACTCGAAATTAAAGATTTGGGAAAAACAGAAGGGATTTGTTTGTTCTTTTTATTTTCTTTATACAAATTCTTTATAAATTCAAATTTTAGACAGTTTTATTATTTTATCTTAAAAAGATAAATTCAAATATAATTTTAATAATGAAAATTTTGCATGTGTAATACGACACACAAGTGAATAGAAATTAATGGGTCTGGTTGAATCATTTTTCAATTTTTTTTTTTAAAATATATTATTTCAATACAAAGAGCCAAGAAAAAAAAAGAAGACAAAGACAAAATATTTTTTCATTCCCAAGACTGGTTCATGAAGATGATGAAATAATCCAAAACTAAAGCCGAATACATTGTAAATAAAGACAACTTGTGATCATCATATCAGAGTTATACCTTAAACACATACCATATGTAACATTTACAGATAAAGAGTTGATCCAAACCTTTCCACATGGTTAGTGAGCATGGGAAACAAGAAAAACAGACAAAACTATAGATTAACAGAGCAAACATACTTAGTTCAAACAAGTAAACACAAGGGTTGTTATTACAAGAGAATTTCATGATCATGTTCATGTTCATCACTACCTTCCTCGGAGACCACTAAAGTAAGCAGCGGGGTTGCTTTCAAAGACAGACCTGACTATCACACGAGCCCCTCTGGTCCCGGGAGCTATCATCATCTTAATTGCCTTCCCACCAGAGACAGTGCCGCGGCCAAAACAAGAAAAGACGGACTTTATTATATTAAAGACAAACTTTATTATTAGGATAGTGCCGCGGCCAAAACAACAAACGACAGACTTTATTATATTAAAGACAAACTTTATTATTAGGATAATTATGTTGATAAAAAACGTACTTATTTTGATAATTATGTTGATAAACAATGCACCGCAACAACAAAGGAGGATGATCAGAACACCAGCAGCTATGGCGGGGATGATATAAGGTTGACAAACTTGGATCAAATGTTGACAAACTTGGATCAAATGTTGGATGAAACGTTGGATTTGCTCTTTTATAGTCTCTGGTGGAAACATCTCGTCCACCTTACCCATCAAATCTCCGCCCATGTTCGGCGCCAATTCCTTCCACTTCTCCTCCGCCTTACCCATCAAATCAGCGCCCATGTTCCCTACCACCGCTGGCAATTCCTTGGACTTCTCTACTGCATAGTTCATCAGACTCCCTGCTCCCATCTCTTTCTCTTTTTCTCTCAGCATCACCCTCACATAGTTCGTCATTGAAATTGACTGCTCTCTCTCTCTCTGTCTCTGAGCAAACAACTACACAACTTGGAACATATGGGGCAGTATAAAAGGAGAGGCAAAGCAACTTCTTCCTCTTTTCTTTTTTCTTTACTTTACTCTATGCTTTTCTCTTTAGATTATTATATTTGGATTAACGATTTAAAGAGTAATTTGTGGAGAGACAGTATAGAAGAATCATTTCATAAATTCTTACTCAATTTGTTTTATCCAAACATAGTCTTAGGATAAATTATACAGATCTCTTTGGACTAATTAATATATTATAATTAGATAACAATTTTGGTATAAATACACAATATTTTTTTGAAATATAAATTTCATAGTGTTTTTATCTTTTTAAACTAAAATGCCTGTTTACTCTTTGTTAACCGGGTCCAAACATCACCTAAATCCAAATATTCTTATTTTATGTTTAAACAATACGTTGAATGAAGGTAATTATGTAAATTAAAGAGGTAAAATGGGGCAATTGTATCATTTAACACCGTAAATATATTTAAATACAAAATATTTAAGAATAATATAATAATTTAATCACTTTGGTTACCACCGTTAAAGTTATCAATATTATAAGAGACATTAATATAATTTTGTTAAAACTACATAATTAAATTAAATATAATATTAATACCATAAGTCCCACTACTAGTGTATACCTTTAATACAAAATAAATAATCATGGTAATATTGTTCATAATTATTTTCAAATTAGGAGATGACTTTTCTTCGTGGCAGAAGTTTTACTTTCTTTCTTTGTGGGTTGATTAAAGAATGGTAGTAATGACAGTCATAGTTCATCAGACTCCCTGCTCCCATCTCTTTCTCTTTTTCTCTAAGCATCACCCTCACATAGTTCATCATTGAAATGACCGCTCTCTCTCTTTCTCTCTCTCTCTGAGCAAACAACTACACAACTTGGAACATATGGGGCCGTATAAAAGCAGAGGCAAAGCAACTTCTTCCTCTTTTCTTTTTTCTTTACTTTATTCTATGCTTTTCTCTCTAGATTATTATATTGGATTAAGGATTTAAAGAGTAATTTGTGGAGAGAAAGTATAGAAGAATCATTTCATATATTCTTACTTAAATTTTTTTATCCAAACATAGTCTTAGGATAAATTATACCGATCTCTTTGGACTAATTATTATATTATAATTAGATAACAATTTTGGTATAAATACACCATATTTGTTTTGAAATATAAATTTCATAATGTTTTTATCTTTTTAAACTAAAATGTACCGTATATATTTAAATACAAAATATTTAAGAATAATAAAATAATTTCATCACTTTGGTTAACACCGTTAAAGTAATCAATATTATAAGAGACATTAATTTAATTTTGTTAAAACTACATAATTAAATAATATTAATACCATAAGTCCCACTACTAGTGTATATCTTTAATACAAAATAAATAGTCATGGTAGTATTTGTTGGCTTATTTTTCCTACGAAGGAAAATATCATAAATGCGAGCGTGCCAGCAAGGATTGAAAAATCCCTACAGATTAAATTCAAGCCAATTATCAAGCGATTGCGTTGACAGTTCGTTTGCCTCAACGAAGAGGACTTCAAATTTGCCAAGTGTAGAGAAAAGAAAAAGTAAAAGAAGAAAGAGGGAGACGGAGAAAGACGATTGAGTGAACAATCAAAGTAATAATTACTTACCTCTACTCCTATGCTTCGAAAAGGAAGTGCATAAAATGCTTCGAAATGGAAATGCTGAAAATAAATGCTTCGAAATATAAATCTATGTTAAACTACTCCTAAGATAAGGAAAATAACAAGAAATATTGAAATCAAGTGTCTTTGATTTAAAATTCTGGATCCTTTACAATAGCAAGCAAATGATCAAAAATGTCATCTGCCTTAGTTAAATCGAGAGAATATTTCCTGTGGA